TTTTTTAATAGCTTAGAATTTAGTTTTTGAGAAATTGAAAATATTATAATTGTTGTTTTTAATATATTGTAGGAAACATTTGAGTTTTTATAATCATTGAGTTCTCTTATATTAATAAAGTCAATTTCTAGTGATTGTTGTTTTGTGTTAGTAGTGATTTTTTTGTGTATGATTTTTTTAAGATTTCTTTTGATTAAAAAAATTTTTAGCAGATTATTTGTAATTATCATTGTTGAAAAAAGTTAAAGAATCTTGTTAATGATTTAGAAAGTTCAATTTGAATGATATATTGTTGGCAAGCCTTTGGAAGATGAAGTGTTCTCTGAGTTTGCAGATTTTTGAGATAAAGTTGGTATCATCGATTATAGGAATATTTATTTCAATGTTGTTTTAGATCAAATATTTTTTTTAGTTCAGGTAGGCTTGAAATAGAGAGTTTTCATTGGATTTAGATCCATTCATTTGAAATTTTGGAGAATTGATAGAATTGATGTGTTTTGATGATATTTTCTTTGAGAAATTTTTGTTTATGATTGGATAATTTGTGTTTGCTTTTTCATTAATGATATTGAAGTTTTCTGGAAGAAGTGGTTTGGATAGAGCTGTTTGTGCAGTTGTGTTTTTCTATTTTGAAATATTAATTCACTCTTTTGGCAAGGATATTTAGAAAAGATATTTTTTTGAGAAAAGATTAAAGAAAGGAAAGATATTTGCAGGATTTGTCATGGAAAGAGGAATATTTATTTCTAAATTTAAAATTTTGTCTAAGAATGAAAGAAGTTTTTTTCTAATAAAGAAGAAGTTATTTGGGAGAAGTTCAAAGTAATAAGTTTTATAAAGTAATATAGTTAGTTCTTAAATGATTATTGTACTATCTCTGGGATTGAAGAGAAAGAAGCTTGAATATTTGGATTCAAATAGGTGATATGTTAAAAGAAGTGGTTTTTTTGAAGATAGAAGTTCAAAGTAGAATTTGAGGAGCTTGGAAAAGATTTGATATTCCTTATATAAGTAATTTTTGTATTTAAAAAGTTTGTTTAGCTTATGTATTTCCTAATTTGAAAATTTTTTTTATATTTTGGCAAAAGATCATTAAAGTTTTTGAATAATGATATGTTAATTTTGAAATAGTTTTCTGAGAGTTTTTAAAATTTGTAGTAAGATTTAAGTATGCGTAAAGTTGAAATGAGTTGAGATTTGTTTTTCATGAGAAGGTTATATGATAGTTTAATTTTGATTTGGGATGGAATTATAATTCTGAAAATTGGAATCGCAAAGAATCATATGAGATTTGGAACACAATTAAAAATGATGTGGGTATATCTCACCTATTAAATTTAATATAAACTTGAGAATCAAATACAGAATCAAAGAGAATTGTTAGGATCTTTAGATAGAATTTTAGTTGAAGAGAATGGTAATTCTAATAGGATGTTATTAGTGTATTTCTTGAGTTTTTCTTTGAATTCTGTATGGTTAATATAAAATTGTGATTTTTTGATAAAATAGTTGATGAGATAAGTAAGAAGACTGGTGAGTTCATAAAAGAGAATATTGTTGATATCAATAGTTCTTAAATAAATAATTTATAAGATAGTATAGATGATTACTTGAATTTTTTTTTGTTTTGAAATTAACAAAGTTAAGGTTGCATTTCTTTTTATATTTTTCTTGAAAATTTTTTTCTATTTAATTGAATTCTTTTTAATAAACTGGGTTAATGTTTTCTTTAATGATAAAGGAGTTGAAGAAGATACAATCTTTAAATTTGAATTTGTTAAAGATTGGTTAAAAGAAGTATAGTAAGTATTTGGATAATTTCCTGATTTTTGTAATTATGTTAATAATTGTAGTAATATTATTGGGTATTGGAAGCAGTTGGTTGGCTAGTAGTTTTATTTCTTTATATAAAGTTTTATATTGCTTGTTATTACAGATTTCTTGAAATTCTTCTTAAATTTTACAATCAAAAAAAGATAACTATATGTTTTATTAGGATAGTTGAGTAAGTATAGTGATAGAACTGAAAAGCTGGTCAAGATTGATAACATTTTTAAAGTTAATTAGTTATAATTGATCTGTTGATTTGATTTCATTGATGTTCATAAAGCTTGAAATAGTAAAAGAGTTGTTAGAAGAGCTAATTATTTGTTAAGAATAAGATGTATTTGATTGTGTGAAGTTGATTCAAATTGAAAAGTTTTATTGGTTTATTAACTGGTTTATTAATTTTTGTAAAGTTGCTAGATTGAGCAAGAATTGAAGTAATAAATGGAGATTTGCTTATACATGCATTGTGGCTGTCTGATTAATATTACTTTTTGGAAGAAAAGGGAAGTAATAGATAGATGATCATTTTTAGAATAAGCTGGTTAAGGTTTTTTGTTATTCCTTGAGAAAGGAAGAAAAATTTTTATAAATGATTATAGAGTTCTATGTTAAGTTGAATTTTTTTCATTTTTTCCACTATATTACTGATATATTGAAAGTTGAAAGAGATTTTCTTTGATTAGAGAATATTATATAAGTTTGAAGAGTCTCTTTTGATTTTTTTTATTATTATTTCCATTGTAAAGTTGATAATGCGAATATTATTGATAAAGCTTGTTTTGACAATTTCTTCAATACTTTTCCTTTCTTTAATAATGAAAAATTAATTAAAAAAGTTTGAAAGATTGATAATAAAGAGGGTTCTTGCAAATTCTGTTTGAATAATTATATTGTTGTCAAGGTCAAGGTAATAAATTTGAAAGAACTGATTCCAGTCTTGTTGAATAATAGCATGTAAGAATTGTTTTTTGTTATTATTAGTTGATAAATATTCCATAATTAGGAATTAGTTATCGATTGGAAGCACTTAAAAGTGCTTGGAGTTAAAAGTTTCTTAGGAAGGTTTGTTATCAAATAAGGAAATTTTAAGTAAAAAATTAATTGTCAGGAAGAGTTTTTTTTTTTTTTTTTAATTATTATTAAATTATTTTTATTTCGAATTGTAATAATAATTTTTATAAACTTTTTTTTATTGTTATAATATTAATAATAACCTTTATAAATAAATATACTATTTAATTTTATTTCAAACTATATCAATAAGTTTTTTTAATTTTTGTTTATTATATGATTTTATATGTAAATATATTAATTGATTTTTTAAATTAAATTTTATTTTTTTAACAAATATCTTTTTTAAAAAAATTCTTATATTTAAAAAAATAATTTAAATTAAAATTGTTTCAAGTTTTATTTATAACAATTTTTTTTAAAAACTAATTTAAATTATTGTTTAAAAAATTTTTTGTAATAAAATCAAAAAAAATAAACAGAAAATTTTTTTTATAAAATTTAAATACAAAATAATAGATATACAATGTGTTACAAAACTTTTTAAAACTTTTTATTTATTTGTTATTCCAAAAGCTATTGTATAAAAATTAATAAATAATATATCAAAATAAAGCTTAAAATTTAAAGATTATAATAATATAAATTTTATATAAAAATGTTTTTTTAAATTTTTTGAAATTAAATTTTTTAAGTATTAAAAATTGATTACAAATAAATTTCATTAAAATTATTAAAATTTTATAAATTTTAATCCAATAATTTTAAAAATTTGTTAATTTAATCTATAAATTTTTTTACTTTTTTAAAAAATTTTTTATATAATTTTTTTTTATATTAAAAATAAAAAATAAAATTTTATAACTTTGTAAATTTAAATAAAACAAATCTAAAAATTGGTTAATAATAACAATAATATCATATCTTTTTTAAAATTTTATTTTTTATTTTTTATTTTACTAATTTTAAAAATTTAAAAAAAAATTCCAAAAAGTTTTGCAACATATTGTATATAATAATAATTTTTTTTTTCAAAAAAAATTCAATAAATAAAACTTTTTGATTAAAAATTATATTATAATTTTTACAATTATTCAGATTTAAATATACTGTATATTTAATTTGAATAATCATTTATTAAATAATAACAAATTAAAGAAAGTTATTATTTTTTTTTTCATACTTGATTTATTCTTATATAATCCACAATCAATAATTAATGAATGTTTCTATTTATAAGTGAAAATAAAACAAATATTTTTTATTCAATATTTATAATAAAATTAATACATTTAATGTATTTTAAATTTTATGAAAACCATTATTATTGTTTTTTTTTAAAAAGAAATAAATCATTATCACATAATTTATTAATAATTTTATACTACAATAAATCGTCGTTTTTTTTTAATTTTAACTATTAGTCAAAGAATTCCTAGAACTTGATTAATGTTTTATTTAGCAAAGTAACGGTTGATTGCAAACATACTGCATACTGTATTGATATTTGTTATATGTTTTATAAATAAAATAAAAAAAAAATTGAGCCGTTAAAGTTAGTGACAGTATCATTATAAGATTTGTTGTTAGCTTTTTCGGTCACTGTTTTATGTTGAAGAGTTCTTAGGTAATCATACGATATACTGTTGCATGTGCAACAAGTTGTCAAATATGGTTTGCAAAATAGATACTTGTTATACTCGTGTTTCCATTTAATTCCATATCACGTATAATTAAGGTACACAAGTGAATAAATTTTCAAGAAAGCAGGAAGGTCAAAAAAGATGTGGCGAAACAGGATACTAATGCTCACTCAGACCAGCAAAAAAGATCGCTTCTATTGTCCCCCGTCCTTTGTTTATTATTTTTGTTTTAATTTCGATCTCGTTTATTTACATCCCTTCATCTTACATTTTTGGTTCATTGTGTTACATGCAATATGGCTCTGCAGGGGTTATAGTTAAAATTGGCGACACCATGTTACGTATCACAACGGCTGGATAAATAAGCTGAGATGATATCATTTAAATAACTTTACCAATCAGTACGATCAAGATAAATTCTCGAATTCGTTGATCCGCAATTCTTGTTTTCGACCATCAACAAACAACTTGATTGCCGGCAATTTATTACCAGACTTACTCTTATCATCCACCTAAATGTCCGACAACATTCAAATTACACAACCTAACCTTAACGACGCCTTCAAGTACGTTAGTCAAATCAAACAGCTGTTTAAAGATGAACCCTCAAATTACGATTATTTTGTATCATCTCTGTCCTCTTGTCTTCAAGCAAAGATTGATGAACGAACGTTAGTCCTGCGAATGGAGAATCTATTTCAAAGTTATCCAGAAATGCGGAACGAATTCTATTGGTATTGTTCTCCAGGATGGAATGCGCATAGAGGAGACGAAAACATTGAGAATAAACATGAAGGTAGTAACGATATCAGTGGTGAGGTGCCAATAATAAACTATCATAATAATAGTCAGATAATTCTTAAAAAGGAAGGGGATATTACATGCTGTGAAAACAGTAGTAATAATTGTGTGCGTTGTATAATAACGAAATCACCTGTTAAAAATAGTATAATTTTACAAGAGTTGGGTAGTGATGATGATACATATAAAACGCCTGTCACAACACTTACGTTTACACCAACTTCACCATCAGCGAATATTGTGACACATCTTGCGGATCAAGTGACAAATGAGCAAGATCAAATAGATGAGAACAGGCCGAGAATTCCTGCGAAGGTAGGAGTTTGTAATCTAAAAGTTTGATTCGAATTTTAAACTTTTTAATTTAGAACTTATTAAACTCGCAAAACTTCGTTGTAGCGTCAAAGTGATTCATTCAAGCATATCCGTGACCCTCTTGTCCGCGAATTCAGTAACCTTTCTGATTCAGCCCAATCTCCTAATAATTCGCCAATCAATAATAACAACAATATTGTTATCAATGCCGGCACGTCATATCCATCATTCTGTAAATACACTGGGGACAATTCAACAACTGAGATAGATCACATTCAACAATCATTTGATAGCATGTCACATATTGCCCAGAAAGAATTATCATCACCTCAAAATAGTCAACTTTCATCATCAGTCGACACAGAATCATTAAATGATAAGGATAGTTGGCAGCCACCGAAACAAACCGCAGTCGAGACATCGATGTCACCAAATGAAGCAACACCAGCAGGACAAAGATTACGAAGGAGCACGAGAACTCGTAAACCAAGTCAAAAAGCATTAGAAAGCGGTTATTGATTTACTGCATTTAATCACTTTGTGAGATGCCATTAGAATGAGGATTGTTTGTGATTGAAGATATTGGATCAATTATTATTGAAACTATTTTGGTTGATTTCATATTACATTCTACACGTTACATGTGAATTCGAATATACTTTTAGAAAATAAAAAATCAGTTTCCTGCATTAGTAACATAGAAAATCTTGCATTTGAGTCAATCAGCCCATTGTTTTTGGTAAAAATTTTGAAAAAAAAAAAATGTCGCTTTCAATTTAACTTAATTAATTAATATATAAAAATTACTTAATGACAACATCGCCATGAAAATTTTAAGATTTGTTGTGATTTTACCCTAGTTTGTCTAAATTGCAATATATGGTACGCGCCAATAATAAATGACGTAATAATGCAATTTTGAAATGTCTTTTTAAGAGTCTATTGTTTCAATTAACTTATGGTTTAAAAATGAACCTAGACTAATTCCAATTGCCATTATTATATTTTAGAAAACAAATAACATTTTCTGTATGTCGATATTATATTCACATAACAACACACTGATTGATTTTGTAAATTCAAAATTGATCAAATACTAATTAATTTTTTTTAAAAGAATATACATTATATAATAGCATAAAACTTATTATTATTTCAAAAAGTTTTAATAATTTTATTTTGGTTATTTTTTTTTTTTTGATTCAATTTTATTTAATTCATTTATTTTTTTGCAATAAACAATTCTATCTTTAATTATAGTTTAACATTATTTTATTAATTATTTCAAATAATGGAATTGTCTTAAACAATTGTAATTACCCAGTTATATGTATTCATATCAAGTAAATAAATTTATACATTAAATAAATTTATATAAGAGGTAAAAATTTTACTATTGATTTAAACTATCTAATTTATTAAGTTCATTTTAATTATATATGCTATTAAAAAAAGTATATTATAAAATATTATTATAAAAATTAATTTTAATCATTCAATTATCTATTGTTAATTTTTTAAAAATAAAATTATAAAAATTATATTAGAATTTTTTTGATTGAAATAAAATTTAAATAAAACAGCTTAAAAAAATAAATTAATCATTTTTTATAAATATTAAAATATTTAATATAAATAATATGTCTAATAAATAATCACAAATATCAATATTTTAAATTTATTAAATAAAAATCTTTTTTTATTATTTATTTAAAAATTAAATTCTTATTAATCTTTTAATAATTATTTCAAAATAATATTTATTAAATACTTTTTATTTTTATTTAATAAAATTTATATTAAATAAGGTAAAAGTATTTCTTCTATTATTTTTAAATTATTTTTTATTTTATTATTTTTTAATTAAAGTATTATTTTATTTTAAAATTTTAAATAAATTTAAAATTCTTATAACACAAAATAATGTTTTTTTAAAAAATCATTTTTTAAAATTTTAAGTAAGACATTAAATAATTTACTGTACATATATTCATAAAAAATTTAAATATATGAATTATAATCTGCTTATTGAATTAATATTTCTGGAAACCTGAAAAAAAATATTTTTAAAAAAAAACTCTTTCCGCTGATCCTTTTGCCAACACAAAAAACAGATGTTCCAAGAAAATTTTATATTTCCTTGTAACAAAGTCTATACACTTTCATTAACAACACTCATACCAAGAGACAATA